AGAGGGAAGGAGGTGGAGGATCTGGGTTGTGACTATAATAGCTACAGTAATTAGAGTGTTTCCAAGCTGCTAGAGAGGTCTTCAGCGCAGAGAACTGGGATGAGAGGCCAGGGAGCATAAGGAAGCAGAAGGAAGCAAACTACTGAGAATGCTAGGAAGGACTATGGTGGTTTGCGAACAGTTTTAATAAAACAAACTGTCATAGCTTCATGGGGATAGCAAGAACTGAATAATAAACAATTAACTGCTATCATTAGGCTACCACTTGAAGCTAGCTTTACAAACTAGGTTTAAGCAGATTCTTGCAAATGTCTCTGTCTACCCAGCTGTCCGTGGGCCCTAACCTCAGAAGTTGGTTTGCCTCACTCTTCCTCAAAAATTCCTTTGTAACAAACAGGTCAGAACCTTCACTCCACTTGGGCTAGGGTAAAGGGATTTCTGAACTCTAAAACAGTTCATACAACTTATTTCCCTTCAATCAACTGTTAATTAGTACCCTATAAATTTCATGAGACTGTGTGTATGTGTGTGTGTATTTCAATAGGAGTACACTGCCTACTGGTTTAATAGAGAAAATAAACGGAAGGCACTAAAAAGGTCAGAAAATAAACACCAAGTTACTTGCTTATAAATGTTAGGCTCCACAGCACTGCCTACTGATATATGGCATGAACATGCGAAAGAAAAAATTATATTAATAGATGACGGTGACGTTCTGTAAGAAAAATCTGAGAATTTTCATAAAACCTAAAAACAGAAAGTCTTCTCGCAAGTGATAGGAAATGATATCTTTGATTTTAAGATAAATATTTAGTAGGGGCATTTTCTTAACATCATTTGACCCTATGGTGATGATCTGGATCTAATAAATTTGAATTCAATGTCAGGGAAAAGACTTACAAAGGTGCCAGAAGATGCTAAGAATTGAATACAACAACTGAACAGATGCAAACTTCATGTGGGGAATTACATTCATAAAATGAAAACACACAGGCAAATTTCCTGAGTGAGGAATGTAGGTACATCTAACCAAAAAAAGTCAATTACATCCTTTGCATAAAACCTGCTGAGTATCATCCCAGTTGGGCTAAATCTTTTTCATCACATTGAAAGCAAAGAATTTTCTCCTCCCCATTTCCCAGTAATAAACAAGTACTAGAAACACTGAATTACCACTATTTCCTTCCCATTCGTAGGGCATAAAGCCAGAACTCCCAGAAATACAATAGGGCTGTGTAGGACTATGTCTAGGGCATGCTACTCAACAATCTAAAAGAAACACAGAGACAGAAGAATCTTTTATCTTGATTCCATTATGATCTCACTAATGAATCAACAACAGGCACTAAGAAATGCGAAACAAAGTGCAATCTCACATCCACGAACTAAACCTACACCACAGAAGACCAAGTACTTTCTTGTCACTGTGGCATGTGATTCTTCAACCACCTGCTCAATAATCCCTGTTCAGCTGCACAGCTGCTGCCAATTCCACATGCCCAGCTAGGCAGGTGCTTCGGTGAATTACCTGCTCCCTAGTGGAAAAGTCCTTCACTGCCGCTTTAGTGGACCCAGAACCTGCCAATCAGCACTACCTATCTTCATTTTGTCTGTCATAGCCAGCCAACTTTTATCAGAGAGGTAGCATGAAGGCAAATTTCGTACACTAAGCGATTAGTACTTGTGGGGTTTCGTTGTTGTCACTGCTCTTGTTTTTTAAAAGGAGAAGACTTTAAAAAATCAAGTCAAAGTGAGAAGTAAGCTGCAGAGAGGAAAACTTGCCATACAACATAGGCTGCCTTATCTCAGAGCGTCCCCATCTGCCTGCAGTATTCCCACCCATAACCAGTTTACCACGGGACATGACAACCTCTGGAGTAGAAGAGTGGCAGTGCAAGTTCTCAGGTACCTGGTGGAGAAGTCACTAGAGAGAGGCAGCAGAGTGGGAGCTTCTGAAGAACACCTACCACTCCTGTACTTGGTGTCCACGGCTGCGCTCAGGCAGCAGTAGTCAGAGTCAAATAAATAAGGAGTGGCACTTCCACTTGACAGAGCAATCAGTAAACCCCTCAACAAATTATCCTGTTCCAGTCATTTAGTTGCTATATGCTAATTGCAACATAATTACTACCAGGAGCCAAAATTATGCTTCCATATCCTCACACAAAATAAGCACTAATCTGTCCGCCTATCTAGACCTTTCACAAGGAAATCTTTTCTACCAAGAACCTGGGGGGAAAATTCAAAGTACTCTCTTAAAGATGGTCACAATCGGAAGTCTCACATAAGATTCCTTGTGGCAAGGGCCCAACTCTGAAGCCACTAAATCTAATCAGGGCAAATTTAATCTGAGGCTTCTGCCTTCACTGTTACTTGACAGAATTCAGAAATAAATGCCAACAGCCTAAGAGCAGAAAACTCCACTCTCAGTTTAGCTGAGGCTTCACTCAAGAAACCTAGGGCATAAAGTTGGAAATAGTCTAGAGACAGACAACACCTCCAGTAAGGCCTTAAGACAGTTGTGTCATCAAAAAATATAAAGGTTAGAACAACCTTTTCCCTCCTACCAAAAGTCCAACATCCGGCATCTAGGTGGTAGGCCATCATTTTAAGAAACTCACTGCAACCAAGGGATGAAGGAAACACAGCAGTCAGACGCGCTGTCTCAGAAAGACCTTCACCAAAACCAAAGGCTAGTGAAGTTCCTAGTCAACAATAACCCCCTATGGGAAATGGTTGCTGCCTATTGTGTACACAGTGTATTGTCTACAATTCCCCTCTCGCAATGCTATATTTCTAATTTTTTTTTAAAGTTTAATGTCTTAAATGGAAACCTCTTTTCTAGCTCCGAATAATTCTTTGCACAACTAATACTACCTGAATACTATTTAGGCATTTTTATGAGATACCTACAGGAACAGAATTCCTTCTAGTCTGTCCTCATTCTTCTCTCATTAATAATCCCCAAGACCTAAAAAAAAAAATTCCTTTTTAAAATTCATCCCCTGGTAAATTTCTCCCTAATACAGAGGCAGATATGGACTTTCTGCATAATGAGGAAGTCATCTCTTTTCATTAGAGTTAAAATAAATATTAGAAGGAAAGTTCTTTTGTTCCCATAGCCCTTGCCCAGTTAGGCAAATCCTGTGGCTTTTTTGTTGTGCAATTATTATTGCCCAGGAAGTAACCATTACAAAGGTACTTGGGTCCCTGACTCCCTATCTTAACCCTGAACAGGTTTTCAGTGGTATCCCTAAACAAACAAACAAAAATCACTGCATCTCTATAAAAAGAATGAAATAAGATGGTCCAAGTGACAGCCACAACCTCTCCTTGGAGGGTTCCTCCTAAAGCGGTCTGACACAAACACGGGGGTTCAGTCTCCCAGACACTGTCCCTCCACAACTTAGTCCAGGCCAGCCCAAGAGGCAGGCACAACATGGCTGGCATCCCCTATTCTTGTGAAAAATGTGTGCCAATGAGCTCTGCATTGTTCCTCACTCAAAAAGAAGAGCCTTTCTGTATGGCCTCCTCCAATGGCAAGCCCCAGTCTGGAAAGGGAAGAAAATGGCACAGAGGAGCCTGGGAGATGGAGCATATCCAAAGCTCTCAGACAAGACTTGAACCTATGACCTTCACTGTGTACACAATAGCCGGGTGAGAGGGACCGGTTTATCTCTGCTGCAGCAGTTCTCAGCCCTGGGGTAGCACTCCCGATAAAATGACACGACCATTGTGTGTGGCAGCAGAACAGTCATCTCCTCACAACAGCCTAAACCAGCACTCCCTCCCCCAAGACAAAGCAGCAGGGGTGAAATTAACTCAAGACTGCAGAGCAAAGCCTAATACAGAAAAGAGAGGCCTGTGGGGGATTGGGGACTCTCCTCAACCCCTGGGGCTCTGGACACATGGCTGGAAACAGTCAGGCTTTCTCCCCCATCTTCCCCACTCTCATTGAGGTAGGAAGCTGTTTCTTGGAGAATTAAATCATCTGTGATTTGTTCAAAAATATTCCCCCTGAAGGGCTCTGATCTCTCCACCCTGTGTGAGCCTAATTCCTAGAAGCTGAAATGACTGTTTGCTGCTGCCTGTTTCACAAACACACATTAATTGGTCAGATGTGTCTCCTCCTCCTCAACCCCAGAGGGAGGAAGGAGAATCTGAGCAAAGCACAGAGATGATCCAACCGTAATTACAC